GCACTGCCCCGGTTTGCCCTAGGATAGCTACGCCCCTGAGGGTGGTGTGTTTTCATCATAAACTTACGAAAATCGTTGAGTAGGTCAAGGACGATCTGACCTTTGTGTTGTTCAGTCTCCCAACAGATGATTTGGTGGAAAATAATATATTAAAGTCTTGCTTTCTAGGTCGAGGCATTCTTTGCTCTTTAGAACGGTTGTTGAAGACTTGAACGCTTCATATGTAGTCTTTTTATAGGAATTATAACCATTAAATAATAATAATAAACGTCTTTTATTAAAGGGTGAAGTTTAGCTGGAAGCTATTCTGAAAATAAAACAAAATGCAATAACGATTATGAATAACTAAAAGTATACTAACAGTGAAAATTTAATCATACATAATATATGAATGTTTGCTCCATTTTTAAATGTTACACCTTTTCACTTCTCTTGTGAACTGTACGACAAAGTCGCGCAACTACAAATACCATAAATCAAAACGTCCTTTATCTAATTCCTAAATTCATAATTCCATTGTTGTACAATATTTTTTCGTGAACGAATTCGATATTTTTTTTTGTTAAAACGAATACTTTTTCCGTATGACAAGTTCAGTTCTATATCACAGAGCAAACATTGCTCGTGAATACAAAGCAAAGGTCTGTTTGAATACAGATCGATGTTATTTGCACGAATTTTTGTGTTCCTTCCAATTCCATTTACACGCACGAGGTACAAATTAAATATAGGTCAGTAAAAAACGTGAATGAAAACGTTAAGAGCTTCACGTTAATCGTATGGAAAGTCAGGGTTAGTGTATAAAAAAAGCATATGACCCAGTTTTTTAAATAAGAGTAAATAAAAAAGCCAAATCTTTCGTTTACTTACCATTACTATCCAAAGTGGCTGTACTCGCAAATGTTTAGCCAAGACAAATAAAAGATCCTCCATACAGAATGTGTAATACTTCGTCCGGTGCGTTGAATGTTGATTTAAACGTCAAAAATCATTTTGCAAAGAAGACAATTTCGAAATAAGAACGCTTTAAAAATAGCCGCGTCGGTTTTGTTATCTTTCCATAAACACCTCTATTGTCATGTATGTACGTGCAATTATATACAAGATTTGCACTCAATCCCTAAACTCTGAAGTAGGAACATACGTTTCAGTTTGTGCTGTCAGGGTTTGGCGCTTGCGGCAATAACCAGCTACTCTTAGCTGAAAGCATAAACAGTAATTATCATAGGACGAAATAGCTTTGATCTTGTCTCGTCTGAAATCCATTTCACGTAACATATAGAGCTGTAAAGGATTACGTGTCTTCGAGCTAGTTCATCACATCTGTATATCTAAACTTCATATCAAACAGAAATCGTAAAAACTACGTATATAACTATTATTTTATCTATAAAGCTACTTTCACTAAAAATACTTTCCTCCGCCTTATTTATCCTTAAACGTGTATTTTTTGCAATAATTGATGTCTTTTCGTAAATCTGCTAAAAACCAACTTGTCTTTCAAAGGATATATGTTGTTAAACAAACTGCTTAGAAGCTGAATATACATTGAGCATAAACTATTCGTATTATTTCAACAATAGCGTTTCAACAGTTCAATCGATTAAGAGGTTAACAATATAATTGGAATGGAAATCAAGGTCAGTGGTATATAAACCCAGACGTGGACTGCATTAAAAATCAGACACATTGTAACCTAGCATAACAGTAATTATACAGTAGTTAGTTTATGTTTCTCAGAATTTCCAAGAATGTAATGTTACACTTACAGCAAAATAATGTCAAACTATGTATATATGCTAAGAACTAGGAGTCGTCAGAAACAGAGTAAATTGATACGTAATTCAAATAAAAAGGTCTGAGGATTACTAATTGAAAAAAATGGAGATCAATTTAAATCTCATTCATTTCGTGCATGGGCATAATATCTTGCAGTTATGAAATTCTGCCATCTAGAGGCTTTTTTTACGACAAATGTAATAAAATGTTTCTCATTGCATTTTTGAATGATGTTATGTCGAGACGTTTCAAATTGCCTACACACGCTGAGAGATCTTCATCTGGAATCTAGCGTGTAAAATTTTAAACTGAATAGTTCATTAAACAGTTGAACATCTGGTTAGTTATACGAGCTTTAATAAGGCGGCTGTTATAATGCATTGTCTTCTCGACTGTAATAACATCGTGAGTCATAACAAATTTTCAGCCCTACCCACATTCAAAGCGCTATCCTTGTTTACTGTTTGTTATCCAGAGGAATTGCTGAAAAAAAGTGTAGGTTATCATTACTTACTATTATCTGGCAATCCCTGCTCGTATGTCTTTTTGTAAGGTCAGTGTCCTTAAAGTCTTCGACGATTTGAATCCGCAATCGCGGTGCCGCCCTCCAGCGTTTCCGCCCGCGTTTCGCCTTTTTATTAAATAAAAGTGAATTTTATCATGGCTCACCCTGTATATACGATCATTTTCAAAAGAATGACACTGCATCGTCAGACTGATGCGTAAGCTCGAACATCCGATTGAATTATTCGCATATCATATTCCTTCTATATGCCGAAAGCTGTCACGGATCGCGTTGTTTGTGAATATTATTTATAATATCCTATTTCAAGCTCTGTCAATATTTAGACTAGAGCCACTCAGCATATGAAGTTTTTTTTGAGGGAAAGATTTATTGAGTAGACTCAATACAAAGCAAAAGTATCTTGTTTATAGAATCAACAGGATATTCGGCCATAGTTTATTGAACTTTCACTGCAAAGATTGTTGGTTCGATATTTTCATTGATGCTGATTGATATTTTAAATAAATGAAGATGTCGATAAACTATCTAGCACATTCAAGTATGAAGTTGGTACGAGTAGTATCACGAGTCCGTACAAATAGCTGTATAGTAAATACATTTACTGAATTTCTACTAGATATGCCTGAAATTGACATTGTTGTCCGAATATGGCATGACGATCCGCCAAAATCCAATGTATTGACAGTCTTCTTTACAGTGAAAAAGATTCTGTCTAGAAGCTCTAAGCAAATATGTAAAAATATATACAGGGTGCTATTTAAAATTCTTGTTTCATACCCAGCGGAAATGGTATTCAGTCGTTTTTTCACACAGAATTTGAAGGTTATTCTTTAAACAGCAATTGAATAGTGCCTTGTAAATGATTTCGTTGACGCCCGGTATAACTACTGATACTATTGAACATTTGGGATGTTAAATTTCTATCCGTTAATCGATCTGTCTTTGAGGCATTCACTTTTTTTAAGCACCGCAACCGAGCGTTTCCAGTTACGTTACATTGTGATTTTTAGTGCGGCATCTCATCGTTCAGATATGTTAGCGCTTTGGGTAATTTCCCAGAGGAAATCATTTCCATGACTGACTTCTGTCGTAAAATGGACAATATATCCTCCGAAATAAGCCCGATAAATCCGTCTTCGGGGAGACCGGCTCGTCTTTTACCATCCATTTTTCTCGTTCGCAAATCAACTTTTTATTACCTGTAGGAGAGTTAGCAGCGTCTAGGAAGATCACGAGATTTCATGGGAAATACAAGTGTAAATTATGTATGTCAAGAGACACGTGGAAGAATTTATCTGATCCAGTGAAGTACTGCGTACTCTGGTGTCGGGTCCCCATTATCATTCTCAAAACAGAGGGTTTCGGAAATGATATGTTGGGAACCATTTTGCTTACGGCAGATTGGCATATACTATAGTTCATTCGGCACGGGAATCACGTATTTTTAAAGGTGACATTTTGTCGTTTTTTGACATTACATGAAAAATCCTTTGAAATTCAAAGTTAAGTACTGAATAAGGAATGTACATTTTTGACTGGACATTTTCGTTTATTAAACGCCGTGCTTATTCTGCGTTATCCACAGTGCCAGATTCAAAATCAGTTTTGTATCGATCACATCCAGTCGAGCTCGAATAAAAGTAAAAAACAGTCATAGATTTTTATGTTAAAATACTTTTCACTACTTTACATAACGGTTCCTTTAAAAATGTATTTCCTTTGTTTTTGTTTGTAATCCTTGGCGGTGTCCTCGATCCTTCCCCACAATTGAGCCAAACAACATTACTTCCATCTTTGCATTTGCATTGTAAATGCAAATTCCTGAAGTTTGAGTTGAAGCTGAAGGTTTTATGGCCTCTTGAAAATTTGAATGAAAGTTGCACTGCATCATTGATTTGGTTTTTCTCAGGGTTACTCTCTATCAGGCCTTCTAACTCAATTTAACTGTTTATTTTTCTTCTCTATCCAGATGTTTTACTTTCGACGGCGTTCAAACAGTGTAATCTCGTAAATATTATCATCAGTTTTAGAAAACAACTGTCACGCAGGTGCTGAGTACATGAGTATTGTAAATGTGTACAAATGTTTCTGCTATTTGACACCATACAGAAAATGTAACAAAACAAGCTATGCAAGTTAAGAACCAAGTTCCTGACCTTTGTATATGCATTAATACGATTACTTGAAAGTGGGCAGATGAGATTTATATTTTTTTTTTGCAGAAAATCATACATACATACCAAGATGCCTCTAACGATGACAAAACTGCCTATTCAATGTTAATCGTTGATAATTAAAATGTTAACGTTGCTTTCGGACTTTGACACTTCGTTGTTTTAGAACAAGCAGAATGTTTACATCATTCCAAAAATTTGCACTGTTCAAATGCGCATCGTTTAAATGTTTTCCAATTCATGCGAATATGATTAATTTTGGGAACACAGTAGCGCTATTTTTATCATTCCAGTTTCCTCTGCGGATATTTTCTCGATAAGCAAATATAGATAAATCAAACCGCGCAGAGTTAAATATGATTTCACCTTCCTGTTGTTTAGATTGAGCGTATGTTGCAAATAAGACTTTGTGTGGTGGTTCCAAAATAAAAATAAAAACATCACAACGTGGAAAACAGTATAGAGAAACATTTTAAATTCAATGCCGCCTTCAGATTTATCATTTTATTTATTATTTGAAGCATTTGTACACCAGAATTGGAATAATAGTAGCTATCTTAAATTGGGACACTGAGGTGAACGTATGTTTCTAAACTGTGTTTTTTGAACCGAAATTTTCATTACCTAAGTTTCAGAAAGTTAAGTGTATTTCTCAAACTATATCAGGAACATAGAATTGTTGATACAAGAGTAAAGAATCTCATAATGGGGTAACTGTTTTGGTTTCAATAAATAATCAATTTCTAATTATCAATAAAACTACTTTATTCAAAATACCCGATGAACGTCAGAATTTGTGGTTTACAGTCAAGAGATCGTTTTTGCGTGTATCAGAAGCCGTAAATATAGGCAAATTAAAAACCATAATATTTTAATTATTAGCCTATAGTCACCAACAGTTGATATTGTCCATTGGTTTTTCCATTCGATTTTTCAGTCTTATTTCCGTAACATATATACATTGCTTCCTTTTGGTATAACATATGAAGGCGACAAGCAGGGGTTTCACGTCACATGAAGTCTAACTGCCATTAACTTTAAAATAGTAAACATAGGTCGGTGAGGGGAGTTTATAATGCTTGCGTTTGAATTGTTTGCTGATGTTGCGAAGCTGCCAGCTTTGCCAGTTTGTTTTTGAAGAATCAATGATATAACTGCAAGAGATCTTTTCAGTTTGACTTTTATTTCTGTATTTACATTTACATATTCAAAAGTAAGTTATATTACTTTTGCTAATAACCTTTGTGAATTTACCTTACTCATCCATGGAATTTTTTTTTTTTTAATATAGCAGTGTTGTATTGAAGACAATCTGTTGTTGGAAATGTCCATCCTGCATGCTTTAATGCATAATAAAATTATCAAGAAATACCGTAGAATAACGACCTGTCAACGTCAATAAAGAAAATATTTTTGTCAACTGGTAATACGTCTCTTGAAAGCCGTGTATTATGATGAATGAATGTGATGTATGTATATAACCACCCTGTATATTGTATGAATTGAATAATGCAACAAAAAGTTCTCGGTTTTTGAAAAACATATTTTAAATATTATTAAATCTTTACGTCAATAATTGTAGTTGGTACAATGCGTGAAGAAGGGCTCTCATTATTTTTAGCTGATAAAGTGTAGTAACACACTTGCCGAAAGCTATCGTATATCAATCCACAAGGTACCTTGAGGCTTCCACTTTTGGTAAGACTGGTTTGGAATGAATAAAAAATATGACAACGAATACTTACTTGTTTATATTTGGAAATTAAATCGATATTACTCACTACAATTGCTTGTATTAGATACAGTGAATTAGTATTCAATTGCAAAGACTCTTGAAGGAAAAAAGCACAGTGAAAAACACACTAAATTGTATTCAAATCTCACTCGATCATCAGTTCTATTTGCTTGTCGCTGCCTGTCCAGGCATATGAAACATGTTCCGATTAGTTTTTTTTTTTTTTTGACGGGACGTGAAAGCGGTTTGAATGCACTATGAGTCGTAGCTTCTATTTCTGGACTTTCCAAAGTCATGCTGTTTACTGGCGTAGAAATCTTTCTAGAAATGTTTGGAAGATGAAACGGTTTTCTTAGAACGCTGAAGCTACACATCCGTTATAGCGCATTTCGATCATAACAATGCACGTGTACTTCAGCAGAAATCCAAAAATATTGTTACGTATACACAGCGTATACCAGGATGTATACAAAAGTTTCTGCTGATAGACTTGTTTCGTTGTTATGAATTCTGTCTGATTTATGCGGCGCTTCTTCGCTTTATGAACAACCTGTTTCAGTTGTTACGATCAGTGCGCTCACAAAATTCCCATCTCCTGATCTAATATTAAGTCTTATTTACTATTATTGAATATCGGAACTCACGCAAAATTGAACTAATGTGAATACATCGTATATCTCACTGAATGTGTAGAAAAATAGGCTATTACTGTAATGTATTATCCATGTATCCATTAATTTTGTTTATCTGTTTTGAAGTGCAAATTAGAAAACTCCAATGTGAGAAGGAGCATTTGGACGCAGTTATTTCAGATATTTGTTATATTTTACATTGATAAAAATGTTGCTAAAATTCTGTTTCTTTTCTATAATGTCTTTCATTCTGATAAATACTTACCCAGTGAATAAATAAGACTAGGGCGTGCAATATTATCACTAAATGTCATCATCTCAATATAAAATAACCAAAACCTGAATAATTGCAATTTGACTTGGCCATATTGTTTGAATGGTGAATGAGATTTAGTATTCTATTAAATTCCCTAACAATTTGATGTATCGGATTCGACACTTTTTGAATTTCAGACTATTATGTTCAATCATTTCAATATTGTCAGTATTCACTTGGAGCCGGGAAATTTAATTTTACGAATTTTTTTGTGTTTCCATCTCCTGGGCTATGTCGCTGATCAGAAATGCTTTTTCACGAACACTTCGGTTGGGCTGATCGATGTGAGTGCCAGCGGCAACATTTGGAACGGGGAGGTATTAATTTTTCATGGAAATAGGGGGCTGGTTTTTTTTGCAGCTGTGTACATATCAAAAAGTGGCAAATTGATGAACAGTCGACATTTTTTTCTAAATCATTTATAACCGTCGAAATTTTGAAGGAGAGAATCCATAAATGGATCAATAGAATTGTCTCCAATCGGTCATCGCTTTGTCGAGTATCATTTCTTTTCATTTTAGTTTCTTTTTTCATTATTTCGGCCACGCGTAAAGTTATACCGTAAAACTGCCCTACTACGTGACCATGATGCCATAGTCCGCACTTTACACTGTCAGTACGAATGAACAACTAAATCTACTGCTCCTGGCGGCTACTATGCACTCATGGACATGTCTCAACTTGCAGCCTAATGCGTCCGTTTGTTAAGTCATATTGCAAAACTTACAGTACCCTTTTAGTAATCTGGACTTTAAATGTACCACTTCGCATCATTTCTTATATGCGTATTCATGGTCGCGCGAGATAGAAACGGTGACCATGTTTGTTTCGGAAAAAAAAAAAAGGGTTGATCGTGTGATTTGCTTACGATGCAACAAATGCATTTCATAAAGCATTCAGAAGAGAAATCGAACAAAGAAGCTGGCACCGAACATGGCTGGATGGAGTGCATCTAGAAATGTGCTTCTCTCTCTCAGTCGCAGAGATAGCGTTAAAATCCAATACCCGACACAGGCAGACGGATTATTAAAAGGAGAGAAATATCGTCGAACGTACAAACTTCCTCGTCACACGCGGTTCTAGCACCGACATCGAAAGGCAGCGGCTGTTCGTCAACGATGCAAGGCCAAAGCCATACCACGCATCTGCTGGAGGAAATATATGCTATAGCATTGTTAAGCCTATACCCTCGCTCTCACCTTAAATGTCATGGTGCTAGGATTTTCATCCATATAATAGGTATTTGTTATCCGTGATATACTTTTCCGCCTGTAAACAACAGTTCTATACAGGGTCATTCCAACAGTAGAAAACATTTGTTAACCGTTCCGGTAGAAGTATGGCCCAATCAAATAACCATCAACGATGCCTTGACAGACCAACGTTGCTGATGTTTTCTAGGAAAAATTGCATGGGCATTTTCTTTGTCCCAAACGTGGCTATTAAAGATACCGTCTCTTGTGAAAGAGGCTTCATCGGTCCATAAAACATAGCGTACAGAATTTGGTTGTGCAGCGATTTGATGATGAAGCGCCGGATTACTCAAATGTTTTCTACTGTTACACTGAATAACATCTACAAGTTTGATCCCATAGTTCTGAAACACCCTGTATATTGATGTGTAAACGGGCTCTAAACAGAATGGTATTACCGTATTGAGAAATGTGGATAGATTTAGGAAAGTATGTAGAACCTTCTTAAGAGGTTTAAAAATGACGATTATCGGTTCAGCGAAGATGATCTGTTAAGGTCTATTCACATTCAACCGTGACGTGACAGTGACTCTCGCTGACGTGAGCTCACAGTGTTTTGCGATTCACACCGGTCAGTATTTTTCTCCGTGCTCGGACAGTGCAGTTGTGTTCGCGTGAGGTCAAGATGGCGAAATTTTCAGAGGATGAACTTGCAATTATTGCATTTTTTCTGGATTTTTTTATACAAGGTGTCCGCAAAGTTGGGGTTTTCCTTTACACGACGTGTAGATCTTGAAAACATAAGCAATTTTTTTAGTACCATATACACCAATGTCTTAAGGGAACCGACATAAAGGGCTCTGCAACATCAAAAATATCTGAATACCGTCCTGTAGCCGCGACCCGCGACATCACCGAGTGGTACAAGGTTACTGGCTCAACCCGTCAGGTCAGTATGCAACCTTCAACCGACGGTTACGGTCACGCGTGTAGAGGTAATCGCGTAGACGAGAAGTGCAAGTATCAAAAACTAAAGTGTGGCAAACGCTGCGTGAAGAGGGGCTGTAGCCGTTTCACGTACAACTTGTACAAGCCCTTGAACCTGACGATTTACCAGCAAGAGTGCGGTTTTGTGAGTAGTTGTTGCATCAACATGACAATAATCCGGAGTTTTTGAAGTGCATGTTGGTGACAGACGAATCTACGTTCACGCGTAATGGGGTGAATAACTTTCGCAACACTCATGTTTGGTCAGTAGAAAATCCGCACGCTGTCCGTCGGGCACATTTTCAACAAACATTTTCGGTGAATGTTTGGGCTGGCATGGTGAACGGTCCATTTATTCTCCCAAATCGATTGGACGGGATGCAATACCTAGACTTTTTACGCAACATTTTGCCTTCCTTGTTTGCCTGCGTCTGCTCGGTAGCGCATCAGCTGATTTCATTTTCTGTTGGAGCGGTATCATTTCGGGCAGAGACGTACTTAGCCCTTCTCGTCAACTGGAGAGTGAGTACTTTTTCCTTTATTTTTTTTTACTTGGTAACCCTCGTTTCACTACACATTACCTTTGTTATTTCAAGGGTAGTTGTTTCTGAAAAGGAAAACCCCAACTTTGCGGACACCCTGTACTCTACCACGAAGGCCTAAGGCGCCTAAACATCCATGGGGTACCGTGGTGCTATAGGGGGAAATACAGAGGAAA